CAGATTTTGTCTAGTTCAGACTTGAACAAACTTAGCCCTAATACACACACATACAGTGGAATGGTAGGAATCGGTTGTAATTTCCAATTAAATTCTTGTGAAATACAGATGGATATATTGTTTGCTGAGATTCCGGCTGTGAAGGAAAGCATAATTTTTTAGCAATGAAATGACTTCATAAGAGACTTCTTCTTAAGAGACTAATATGCTTTATTATTTTGTCTTGTTTGGGGCCTGAAAGATTTCATATAGGTATCTAATGAACCTGTTTTGATCACAGTATGATCAGCTTGAATGAACAGTGCATAACTCGATTATAGACCAGCACATGAGGGAAAAACTTCTTTACACTGAGGGTGGCAGAGCGCTGGAACAGGCTGCCCAGGGAGCTTGTGGAGTCTCCTTCCCTGGAGATATGAAAAACCTGCCTGGACACGGTCCTGTGTGACCTGCTGTAGGTGAACCTGCTTTAGCAGGGGGGTTGGACTAGATGATCTCCAGAGGTCCCTTCCAACCCCTGCCATTCTGTGATTCTGTGAAGTAGGACCTCGCACTGATAATGGTTGCAGCTCTTAAGATCAATAAAACCAGTTGGCAAGCTTGTTTTAGAATCATGTTGTTTTACAAATTTTGTCATTATGAGGAGTGTGTCCATCATTTGAATAACTTTTTGCATCAAGAAATTATATACGTGTGCTGACAGAAAGCAGGTAAATATTAAAGACTGGTAATTAATGACTTGAGGACACACTTTAACAATAGTGAACAGTTTGTGAAGGTTAAAAATCAAGGGGTTAGACAGGAACTTCCACAAGAAAACATTGATCCATTGATTTTATAATGTTAAGAGTCAGCTTTGTACCTGTATAGTTTTAGACAAGGGAAATATTTATATTTCTAGACTTAGATTTATTTGGCCTTTAAAACATGTCCAATATACTGTTTCATCTTAATTTCCATGGAAAAAAAGTTTTCTTAAAAGCGCAGATGTACCGCCTTGAACTGCAGTATGAGTTCTGGGCATGCGCTGGTGAGACCATAGCACAGCGTAGGGTTTTTCTGCCAGGACTTTCCAATTCCAGCAATTTCAGATGGTGACCTGGAAGCCAGAGAAGTGCATTGCACATTTTGAGGTGAAGTTGGTTGCTTTTATGAAGGTCAGAAAGCTTGTGCTGTGCTTATGCATTAAGTGCATACGCATCCCCTTGATTTGAGAGTCAGTGTAGGTAGACCAGCACTGTGGATTAGGCTACAGATTAACTGTCTATAATTACATATTATAGTTAGTTAAATTAGGTGAGATGAATACCTAGATTTCATTTTAAGCCTAAAGTTTTAAAATCTGTTTCAAGAGTCATTGTGAGTAAACCCCTTAACATGGGGAATTCTTGTGCTGTATGACCAGAACAAAAATAGTAACCAATTTTGATTATTTTTTTGTTTTGTTTTCTTTTTTTTTTTTTTTAGGTGTTTAATGAAATGACAGAACTGCTTTCATCTTACAGAAATTATGATAGTTACAGACGTGCCTATAATGAGTGCAGTAACTTTAAGATCCCAATCCTTGGAGTCCACCTGAAAGACTTGATATCACTTTATGAGGGCATGCCAGACTACTTAGAGGACAAAAAAATTAACATATACAAACTGTATGCTCTGTATAACCACATAAATGAGCTGATACAACTCCAGGAAATGCCACTTCCTCTGGAGGCTAATATGGACCTTGTTCATTTGCTTACAGTAAGTATGTTAGATGAGATAAATACTTCCATTTAAAAAATAATTTCATATACCTTTCAACTAGTAGAGAATTCCATTAATTATAAATACATAATATCATAAGATTTTTTTTTTCCTTAAGAAAATGTACAATAATAGAAGAGAAAAAGTTAGTGATACTGATTTATCTGGCAGCAAGGGTAGAGGTGCCTGTTCAGCAGTATGCTTCCAATTATTTTTATAAGGGAAGGAAATAGTTATTTCTACTTTGCTATAGTAGTATGCATTCTCTCTGTACTTTAAGGAAGCCCTCTGTGTTTTCTGCTGGTTAAGCCTAAACAGGGAGAAAGGTGGAAAGCTTGCTTAGATACACCTTGGAGGCAGAAGATTGCATACAAAGCTTCCTTGAGTTGAACACACAAACTCACATGAAAGTTCGTTCCTCAAGATGTGTAGGGTTAAACATTTCTAGACAAGTTTCTTCTGATACTAAAAAAACTGTCTGACATAAACATTAGCCAAATATAGTTGTATTACTCTTCCAGTCATGTCTAGTTAGTGCCATGTTACTAGCAAAATTGGTGCTACGTAGGACGTATGTCACAACAGTAGTTTTAACTCCTCCTAGTAAGTAAAAATACTACCTTTTAATAAAATAGTAAATGTACCTTTCGTGTTTCTCAGGTTTTGGCCTTAACAAGTACCTTAGCTTGGGAAAAGTAGATAGGCAGCTTCTACTTTCTGGTTACAAGCTCTGCTTCAGCAAAAAGCTGATGAATAAAAATGCTTATATTTGTTCTCTCTGGGAGTGATTGTGTGTGAAATAAAGCACATACGCCCAGAGCCTGAAATAGAGCTACATAAAGTGGTGAATTTCTTCCTGCTAAGTGTTGTAAATATTTTGTCTCAAATTATTGTCCCCTGTTTGTTTTTTTTTTAAAAAATAATGTTTTCTAAAAATGGCTATTACAAATACACCGAACTTTGGCCACAATTTCATGCAGCTATATATGACAGGACATAAATTAAAGGAATACTTCATTTCAAAGCAGGAGCTTTGAATCTGCTAATATCCCAGGGCACATAATTTTCCTGTTTGTTCCCTGATTTTTCCAGCAATCTTTCTCCTTCTTCTGTTTCCTTTAATCATATGCTTTCCCATTAGCAGTCAAATCAGTTTGTATTGTGTACATAAGTCAACAATTCATAGAAGTATCGTAACATTTGTTTTCTGAGCGTCGGAAACTAGTTTAAGAATCTAAAATTATTACTAAAACAGTAATTCTTGCAGTTGTTTACAAGAAAGTTATTGCATATCTGCAATTTGAGTAAGGTTATTGATTGGATAAAACACCTTATTTTGGTATCTTATGTTGAATACATATGACTGCTGCATTCTTGACTCTCTATAACAAGTTTATACTTTGTTTGGACTTGTCATAGTTTGAGGCTTGTAACACATTTACATCTGGCTTTTCTATTCAGTCAGATGTCTAGTGTGAATATTTTCATATAAATATTCAAAAAGTGTGATGTTACCAGTCTTTAATCTTAGCTTGAAATTTGTTTCCAGTCAGTAAATATTTTCCAGGACACATGCAAAAGCAAAGGTATAAATTGGGTAATTTTTTTCAAATTCCTTTATTTACCCAGGTGTAATGTTTCTCACTTTTATATAACTGTTGTTGACAGCTAAAGGTTCTCACTGAATATATGCAAGTCCATCTTTTATTCTTACCATATACTACTTAGTTCAACATGGTCACAGCTGGATTGGATAAATATGGCATGTTCAAACAACAGTTTTCTGAGAATTTGAGTTGATGGACAGTTTCATTGGAATGGTGCTTTTGTACTTAGTTGCAGGATAGACCACTTGAATATTATGGGAGTCACAGTTTTTTTCAGGTTACTTGTTAACTGACTGCTAAGTATGCCTAGAGTCACTCGCTGTGCTAATGACTGTAGCCATGTAGTGTTAAGTATTTCCAGATAATGGAAATATCAGTCTGGAATTTAAAAATGTACCCATTTCAAATCACTGTGAACATCTGTGCAGCTCAAGTACTTTTTTTTTTTTTTTTTTAGGTGCATCCTAAATTAAAAATTAGTCCACCAAAAAATAATAATGGATACCAGGAATAAGTATATGAAGTAGTAGTGACTGTTTTGGGATTAAACTAATGTGTTTGTTTTCAGCTGTCCCTTGATCTTTACTACACAGAAGATGAAATTTATGAACTTTCATATGCACGAGAGCCACGAAGTCACCGAGCTGCCGTAAGAGCCTTTACAGATTCTTAGCAAAAAAGACTTTTTTATGAGTAATGTAACTTTTATCCCTTGCATTATTTTTGTGCTAAATTGAAAACATTTTAGCTTTATAGACCAAGCAAAATCTGTTAAAGCATAAATTGTTTGGTTGATGATGAAGCCTAAGCTAGAGTATGTGGGAGAGTTGACACTGTATCAGGTCTTATAATAAGAACACAAACACAAATGAAGTTACTTGTGTAGAGACGTGACATCAGGCTCAATCTTGGTAATTGATACTGATTTTTAAATGAAGAATTCTTATGTGATTCAAATGATGAAACCCATGAGTGCTGTATCATAGTTTTGATCTTGTTTTATAAATATGGAAAAGATGGTGAATTTACAGGGCTGCCAGTGAACTGTGACAATTTAAAGAATGACCAGTGTTTTGGACAGTTTAGGGAAGAGCTTTCTCTGAAGTACCACGTAATTATCAAAACTATGATGTTGGGTCTGACGGGCCATTTCTGCAGTCCTGTATCACATAGTCCATTGTCACAAACGAAAGAAGTGTAATACTGAAAATCGTTCAATTTATTCTAGCCTTTGACACCTTCCAGACCACCTGTAGTTGCAGACTGGGCCTCAGGAGTAGCCCCAAAACCTGATCCAAAAACTGTCAGCAAACATGTTCAGAGGATGGTAGATGTAAGTATGACTGGCCCATTTACCTTACGATCAGTCGTAGCCTTTATCTCTAGGTATGACAAGATACAAGGAAGGGAGAAAATACTGGACACATTCAAAGCTGTGCTGAATTTGTAAGCACTTCTGTCCTCGCAAATAAGACGTTTCTTCCTAGCTATAAATAGTAGCAGCGTCCCCCGAGGCGTGGAAGAAAATTCCTTGAATGGCTAAGGAGCCAGTGGGGAGTGTGAATGCTGGTTTATATACTTCCAGAGTCATTCTTCCAAGGAGCCAAGGGCTCCAACAGAATGTTATTGGCGGAATCTGAAAGTGGGTCTCTCAATGGCTTTGTTACTGGCAGCCATTGCTTTTTCTTTCTCTTTTGGGTCACTCGCTTTACTGGAAACCATTTGGTAAGATCAGGTGATTGATTCCAAAACTGACAGCAAGAGGTAAAGAGTTTATCTTTGCATCCCTGCTTCATCTCTTTTCCTTCTAAATATTGCTAGGTATCCTTTGATACATGCTGTTTTGGAATGTATTTCTAAGTTTGGCCTAGGTGTGCTCCTTGTCTTAGGGCCAGAGACAAACAGTAATGTTGTTCCACAAGTGGAAATAAGTGTCTACATGACAATTCTGTCACATAACTACTTTTTACATAACATAGACCTGATGAAACAAGCTAGGCAGGTACACTGATTTGGCTACAGGGATCATCACTGAGAGCACTAATTGAGAGCGTTAGTACAAGTTGTGTATGTAGGCCTGAACATAACGATCTTAAAGCAAAACTAAAGAGCTGTCATTGTGTAGTGAAGCACTTAGTCCAGCCTATGTTGACTTATCTACATTTTGCTACAAATCAAGAAATCATAATGCTTCTTTAATCTCAAGCAAAAAAAGCAGTTAGACTGTTGCACTGTTTGATAGATACTGTGAGAAAGTGGGAGAGGAAATCCATAAATGTTGCGGAGACTTTGTAAAGTGATAATTCAGCCCATCTTTATTATAAGCTATTCTGCTATTATTTTGCACAGTCTGTCTTCAAAAATTATGACCATGATCAGGATGGATACATTTCCCAGGAAGAATTTGAAAAGATAGCTGCCAGTTTTCCATTCTCGTTTTGTGTAATGGCTAAGGACTGGTGAGTACATAGTTCTGCTTGTCAGCTTCGTAGCATCTATTTTGGGAGGAGTTTGGGGGGGTTTTGTGTTTAAATTTTATTTCTATCATTAGGTTGATAATATCATCCTCTTCACCCACAAATAGAAGTCAGAACGTAACTGACGAAAGCATGTTGTAAATATGTTGTGAATGACATCTTCATGAACTTACAGCAGTGGTAACTGGGCTGATATAGGAGGAAGAACAGATAATAAAAAAAGAAATATTTTTTTGAGTGATATTCAGTATATACTACTAAATAACTTTCCTAAGATGAACCTGTCCCTCAGAAATAGAGAATTGGCAAATGTATATTTTAGTCAAATCAAGAACATTTTTCTTAACACATTAAGGGATGGAAAAATACAGGTGTGATAATTCAGAGGTTTTCTGTGAAGCAGTTTCGAGGTTGCGTCACATCCGCAGATATTTCGCTTATCCTTACGGGCTGCATTTGAAATGTGTGGATAAGCTTCTGTAGACTTTGGGAGCAGCTGACAAGATTACTGAGATCACTGTAGTTTTTGGCCCATGAAACTATTGCCATTATAAATTGCGAAGAAAGATATGTTTAATTCTCCTTATGCTTTTAAGAAAATGTGTGTCTCACAAACAACTTTTCTTGTTTATTTTCAGGGAAGGTCTGATTAGCAGGGATGAAATAACAGCTTACTTTATGAGGGCTAGCTCAATCTATTCCAAGTTAGGACTTGGGTTTGCTCACAACTTCCAAGAGACCACTTACTTAAGGCCTACTTTCTGCGACAACTGTGCTGGATTTGTAAGCTTACTTTTTAGAAAATTATGTTAATGTTGTTTGGAATAATGCCTTTTTTTAGTCTCATAATCACCATGTGTCGTATACACATATGGACCTATATAATACACCAGTGAAGCTATACAGAACACCATGCTTCTGCCTGTGTAGCTATTTAAGGTACCCTTTACACCCCTCTTGGCAGTACTATTATCTGTTTAAACATGGCTCCTACTTTGTGGTGTTCGGTAGTGTCAGCAAATGCAGTCTCAGGTAAACCTTCTGAATCCAGAGCCTTCCATTCCATGGGGCTGTTAGAACTCATGTTCTGATACAGACATGACATGCCCCCTGCCTGTGGCACAGAAAGATTTAGTAAAACTGACTGTTCTACCAATCCCCAGTTTAATTGGGATCAAACAAGGGTGCCGGGAGAGAATTCTCCATTTACTCCAGCTCCACAACTTCTCTGGGGGCTGTCAGATCTGCTGACGTATTCATTGGCGACTAGCTCAAGGTATTTTGTTTGTGTTTGAGAAACACACGTAAAATAATCTGTTTACCTTGTGCTAAAGTGGTAAATAGTTCATGTTTTTACCTTACCATTAAAAGGGTAGAAAACCAAGATATTCTGCAGGTGCTCAGATCTTAGAAATGAGTGGAGCTTTTAGAGGATTTTTATATCTGGAGAGATCAAATGCGTAGAGAAATATATTAATACATAGTCTTCCTGTTTGTTTGAATTTCAGCTGTGGGGAGTCATTAAACAAGGATACAGATGCAAAGGTAAGTTACTTTATGCTTTGTCAGTTTTAATCTATAATTGATGGTGAATGACAAAAAGCCTGATCGTCCTGAGATCCATTGCTATGTCTATGGGCCTATTTAATCTGGCCTCTCAGGGAGGAGCAGACTGATTCAAGAAGAGTATGACAGATGGATGGTCTAGAAGAAGGAACTTGTAACTGATAGCTCTAACCCTTTGCTGAATTCAGAGGGTTTGGGAACAGACCCTTCTATTCCAATGGTCGCAAACACCAACACTGTGAAAACTGTGCAGCCCGTTCACAACGTGTTTTGCAGAGTTTTCTTGCTCATACAGGTATCTGCTTTCTCTGTAACTCTGACAGTCGGAACACTGTTGTGTCTGAATGTTGCTATTTTGTATTTTCACAATGAAAAGGAGTTTTAGATGTATATAGCAAAGGGATGTTGTTGGTCTGTTTACCAGACGTATGTTGTAGAGAGCACCAAAGAAGCTTTCCTGCCTACTGGGGAGGCAACAGAGTGTGAGACCTGATCTTAGATGCTACAACAGAGCCACTGAATCCTGTAAACTTTGTTTTGTTTACAGACTGTGGAATGAACTGTCACAAGCAATGCAAAGACCTGGTTGTGATAGAGTGCAAGAGAAGACCCAAAACTTCAGTTACAGACAGCAGCCCGACATCTGCTCTTGCTTCAAGCCTCTGCCCAGTAGGAATCAAAGAGCAATTCCATGGTGAGAAAAAATAACATTAAAAAGATCAAAAGGTCTAGGTAATCTTTCCTTTGCTCCTTTTTCTTTTGAAGCTGAGTTGTACAGCATCACTTTAGGTTTTGTTAGTTAACTGCAGTGTTTTATCAATGTATAAACTAGAACCAGGCGTAAGTGAGCCTGTACCAAGTAACACCATTTCAGTTCTAATCTGAATAAGTAAGGTCTCCCTTTCTGGGACATCTCTCATCACACTACTCCATGCATGGTGCACAAATTCCACAAAAACTGGGTAAATCTTCTGCTAGGCTCTCAGGAGAACTAGATGCCATGAACTGAACAGCTGACAGGTTCCCTTGAATCTTTCACCTCGTGACAAGCAGGTCTTGGTACACTCGTTTTTACTACTGTTGTCACATTAAGCAACTACTGCACTGCTGCAATGCTGACTCAGATTTCAATGTGGAGTTTATAAAGCCAGTTTACTTATGTACCTGCGTGCTAGGAAAACCATGAGCTAATTGTGTTTATTTTTCCACTTCAGTAGCTTAATCTACAATTCCTCTTCGTCCATCTGTCTTTCATTTAATCAGAAATGAAAAATCTACACTTCTCTCTTCTTTTCTCCTTATATTAAGCAAGCTGTATCTCTTCCCTTGTCCACTGCTCTAGTCTCTCCATCATAGAAGGCCACTAGGTTAGTCAGGCAGGACTTGCCCCTGGTAAAGCCATGCTGGCTGTCTCAAATCACCTCCCTGTCCTTCGTGTGCCTTAGCACAGCTTCTAGGAGGATCTGCTCCATGATCTTCTCAGGCACAGAGGTGAGGCTGACAGGTCTGTAGTTCCCAGGGGCCTCCTTTCTACTCTTTTTAAAAATGGGTGTAATGTTTCCCTTTTCCCAGTCATCAAGGGGCTCCACCTGACTGCCATGGCTTTTCAAATATGGAGAGTGGCTTGGCACCTACATCAGCCAATTGCGTCAGGACTCTGCGATGCATCTCATCAGGCTGCATAGACTTATGTATGTCCAGGTTCCTCAGGTGGTCAAGAACTTGATCTTCTCTTACAGTGGGAGGGACTTTGCTCCCCCAGTCCCCGTCTTGCGGCCCATCCTCACGAGAGGTGTGGGAAGAGAGATTGCCAGTGAAGACTGAGGTGAAAAAGTGGAGTACCTCAACCTTCAGTGGTAAAGCATGCTGAACTAGCACCCAGGTTTAATCTTCCAATCCAATCTTCCAGACCAATCACTAAGATCAGTGGTCTGTGTAAAACCTCTTAGTCACCTAGAGGTTTTTCTCTAGCTGACCTTGATGGTACACCTGTTTTCCTCTTACTGATCCATATTCATGTTACTGAGACAGGGGAAA